CACCCCAGTGGGCGTCTGCCTTATATAGCTACGTAACAGGTTAAACTTGCTGATGTGATGAAATGTGTAGCAAGCCCAGCAAGTAACCCCCCTTCTAGCTCCGGAACTTTGTTGATACAGCTTTTCCTCTAGCGAGGCCAGCAATTAAACAACTAAGCAACAAGCGATCTCCCCCAGCCTAAACAACCTACTCTATGCCCTTGGTTAGATAAAATACTTTTTTCAAAACATACAAAGCTGTTCCTGAAGTAGAAAATGCATAGTAAAAGTTTAGGGGATCTCTGCTGGACATGGCTTCCAGCCCTACCTCTGTCCCTAGGGGTTTAGCCAGGTGCCCCTGAAACAAGGGGTGGGAATGCATTATGTTAGAAGTTACCAAAATCAGTTTCTCTTATGAATGAATGTAATTAAAATAATTAATCTAGAATTCCACTTCTGCACTCACTATTTTTTAGCTCACTTAGATCATGATGTATCACTATATCTACACAATGCAACATGAATTAATTTCTTTTTTTATGCTTAATGGAGATTCATTTGACATCCAGGTCTTTCTATAAAAACTAAAAATCACCTTGCACACCTAAGTGCAAGATGTAAGGGCCCAGTAGTCACAGAGTGTTTTGACTGTCTAACCAAGTAATATACAGCATTTAAGAGCTGAAGAGATGAGAAAGTCAATGAATATAGTCACACAGAACTACACAGTAATTGTGGCATGTCATCCTGATATGACCCAATGTACTCATGTATTGATGCAACATCCTAGTGAAAATATTGCAAAGCAATATCAAGGCATCATGCTGTGATTATTCTGTGACTATCTATGAATATTTGACTGTATGATTTTTCTTCTCTCTCTCTCCTTTGCTTTCTTAACTGCTCTGGCTATTTACAATGCCTGGATAGTGGCCTTTCTGATCTCTTCCCCTACTTTCTATAAACCTCTTTTCTCACTGTTTTCCGAGTCAGGGAAGTTTTTAGTACTGTGTATTCATTTATTCACTGGTCTTTCCTTCATGTTTACATGTGTCAAGCAGTATAGGGAACATTTCTGTGATCACTGCCTTCCACAAGCTTTCTACTTGCAGGCAGCATGAGAGATACTTGTAATGGGCTCATTGACTTTATAAGAGCCATAAGCTAAATATTAAACAAAGCATGCACTGCTGGTGTCACAGGAGAAGTTGGACTATCTTGTCCCTTGATGAAAAATCACACTTTACTATGAAACGGGTTTCACTTATACAGATAAAGATCTTCAGGCACTTACAGTCTGAGAGTTCAGCTCTAGTTAAAGGTGGGGAGTGTATATAAATTTGAATGGAACATATGGGCTATAAGGTTGCTGTTACAGTTTTAGAGCATGCTGCCATTTCTGACACTGAAATTACTCTCCTATGAAATATTCTGTTGAATTTGCATTTTATTCTGCTATTCAGATATTTGATTCTCCATTTATGTTTTAACTCCCACAGCAGCCACTATGGGGTAATGCCAGCTGTTGAGTCAGCAGCATGAGTGCAACTCAGACATTGTGTGATTACCAAGTTTTCTCTTATAGTCTCCCTAGAGGCAGTCACCTGCTTTGTCACTGAAGAAAATGACTCATGTTGCAGCCAGACGGATATCTGGAGTCCCAGAATAAGCTTGACATGATTCTAGTGCTCAGCATGAATTTAAAAGGGAAATTCACGGAAGCCTCCCACGGAGTGAGAATAACAGCTAAAGAAATGTATTTGAGGCCTATGTATGAGGAATGTGAGAAATAAAAGATAGATGGGAAATCTTTTACACTTTTTTCTTTTCTTTCTTTTACAGTAGACCCAGGAGATGCTGGCAACAAAGAAATGAGAATAAATCTGGACTAAGTGGCCTGTGAATGATCTCTGATGCATTTCTATCACTTGAGCTTAAGTATTATTCAAGCAACGTAGGAAGATTTGATTGAGATCTCCTGGGCATTAAATATGCCTATAGATATAAATCTGTTTTATAATTTTCCCTTAAAAGGCTGAAGAAATCCAATAGGTGTTTTCTTCAGACATGCTGTACAAATGATGAATAAAGGGTATAGTATAAAAAAACTTGAAGAATGAAGTTTTTGAAGCCAACTAAGTGAAGTAAATGTTTGATTATTTTTATAAATTAATGGAAGCTAAGCATTGAAACCTCTTTTCTGGTTTTGAAAATCATGCCCTAAATGCACTTATTTTACACTGGACAGAAAATTGGATAGCTCATATTACTTTAACAGAAAAATCACAATTTAATTTAAGTTAATTTAATTGCTTCTAAACTGCGATAAAAACTGGGGAACCTCATAGACATGAATAGTAAATAGCAAAATATAATGTTGCTGTTAAGGAACCCATTGCTAATAACTTAACACAACAAACTAGTAAATGAACAAAAATACTAATAGAACACAAGGCTGTTGTAGTACCCGAGTTAATTTGTTTTTATTAATATTGCATAGTAGATGTTCTTTATACATAAAAAAAAAAAAAATCACAACAAAATGAAACCATTCTACCTGACTGTGAATTGTGGGACCCAATCTAAATTTTGTTTTTGCCACACAGAACATAATTGCTGAGGGCCTCTCTAAGGGCCAGAGATACAACTTCCTTTACCTATATATGTAGGGTTATCATATTTCCAGTTCCAAAGAAGAGGACACGTGTCGGGGGGGGGGCACCTCACTCCCAAGCCAATGCCCTCAGGCCTTGCCAGTGCCCCTCGCTCCAAACCTGCAGCCCCCTGGATCTCCCGGTGCCCCTCACTCTGACCCACAGTTCTTTGCCAACCCAGCCATTCTGGTGCCCCTCACTCCTGAGCTGCAGCCCCCCATACCTGTTGGCATAGGCAATGCGTAGGGGTGGCATGGGGGGGCACATGCTCACCCTGAGATTGGCCGCCGCTGAAGCTGCCACTGGCTTCTGCAGGTGGTCACTGCTCGCCACGCACCACCTTGCCGCCGAAACAGGCAGTGCTCACTGCCACCAACACAAATGCCGGCGGCTGCAGGCGGTTGTCGCTGCCAACACCGATGCTGGTGGCTGCAGGCGGTCCCTGCTCACCGCCATGGTGCTCTCCCAGTCTTGGGAGGCACCAGTCATTCATGCCTGCTGGTGCTCCTCACTCCTGAACTTCACCTAGCCCTGCCAGAGGGGGCCCCAGGCTACGCCTGTCCCGACCAGGTCAGAGCGTGGTGGCTCTGATTCATGTGGCAGTGGCGGAGTGAGTCCCTTTGGGCACAAAGGGAGATGATTCCGATGCGAGGAAAAAGAGGGAAAGGGGCCAGGAGGCTTCCTTGGCTGACCAAAGAAATGCACGTAGGAGGGAAGACTGTGCAGCTCCCACCCTGGGCTGGGACTCCAGCATCACAAAAGGTGGCCTGGCCATGCTCCCCTCAGCAGCTTCTCCCAGCTGGCCTGGCCCCACAAGCAAGGACACTGGTCCTGGTGCTGCTGGTACCCTTGGACATTGGTTGAGATTTAAAAAAAAAAAACTGTCCAGTTGGGGATCAGAGGATCCAAAAAAGAGAACAGCCTGGATGTATGGTAACCCTAATCTGAGGGCCTTGTTCCACGGTTATTTTGGGCAGCTCCTGGAGCTATTAACTCCTGGACTGTCTGCATATTAACAACATAAAGTGGTTTTAAGCATTCATTATTTGGCTCAAATTTACGCCACCCCAGGGCAGGATCCTATCCGCACTACCCAGATCCTGTTCCATTAAGGTGTAGCTACTTCCTGTAGATGTGCCACCCAAGTTGAAGTCCCACATTATCCCAGGCTCTCTCTCACCCTGACTGTAGAGCTTGTCCTGTCTCACTAGCCCCCTAGTGAAAACCCACACATACAGCTCCTAGTCCTGTCTCTGCTCACCAGGCCTCTAGTGACAAGTCACAGCTGTGCAGGTGTGGGGGGCAGTCAGAGAAGGTTTCTAGACTAGGGTGCGACTGCTTCAATTGTAAGGTAACACCAACACTGAACAATGTGGTATATGTAGTGTACCTTTAAGGGGGCAGCAGTGAGACGACCCAGCCTCTTCCCCTGATGCCCTGTGGGTGTGGTTTTGTTTGTGGTGGGTTATCGTTGTTCTCCCTGCAAGCTATGAGTGTGTGAGTTGCTGAATCCTGTTCCTCATTAAGATAAAGCTGTTTACTACCCCATCAGTCTCTGCTGAATGCTGACCCGAGGACAGAACCCCAAATGTATGGAGGTCTGAGTGAGTACTCTGTCCCAGGAACCCAATGGCATAAAGTAAACATTATATGGTGTCAGAAGTGACCTGTCTCTCAGTGGAGGCACCAGCACCTGAGTAAGGGGGTTATAGTTTTCATTCCAAAAAGACAAACAAGTGGAGCATTTCAAACTTCCATTCTCCTTCACTGGAAATCTTGGGGAGAATTAGAGGAGATGGGAACAGAAGCTTTGATTATACCTTGCAGTCACAAAGGCTGAGCAAAAAGCAGAGGATTATAAAATTGCAGTCATGCTTCACTGCTTTGGGGATAAGGCCCTAGAAAGTTACAACAACATGTAAGGGGTGTTTGCAGATCCCAATAACAAAACCCTTACAGAGGTGTTTGCAGCATTCAAGAACTACTGTGAACCCAGAAAAAGCTCTGTCTTTGAAAGGCATCAGTTCTGGCAACTTAGATACAATGAGGCTACAGGCATGGATGATTTTGTTACAGAGCTCAGAAGTAGACCACAGTATTGTGAGTTTGGATCTGCTGAGGATGTTATGTTGATAGACAAAATTGTCTTCAGCATAACTGACTGCAAACTCAAAGAAAAGCTTCTGGAAAATCCCTCCCTCACCCTGGCTCAGGCTGTGAATATCTGCAGGGCAAAGGCTCTCACAAGTGCTCAGGCTCGTGTTATGCCTGCAGAAGCAAGCTTGCATGCAACTGAGCAACAGCAAAACTGCCAGAGCACTTTGCAAAAGCAAAGCAAGCCATCAGTGAAGTTTGCTGCACAGGAGGGCAATCAAGCTAACAACGACAGGACTTGCAGAAGGTGTGGAAGCACATACAAGCCTCGCTCCTGTCCAGCTTTTGGAGAGACTTGTTATAAATGCTTTGGCATAAACCACTTCGTAAAAATGTGCATGTCAAAGGGAGAGGCTCCAGTGTCTGCAAAAGGAGTCAGCACCCTATATATCGGCACAATGTCTGCCAGGCAGCATTCACAGGCCTTTGATAACCAGAATGCTTGGTATAGCAGAGTCATGATTGCTGACTTTCCAGTTCATTTGAAGTCAGATACTGGAGCAGAAGCAAACACTCCCCCACTAGGGGGAATGCATTACTGGATCAGGTATTGGCAACAGGGGATGACATGGTTGGGGACCTACAGATCGGTAGCCATCTGGGGGACAGTGATCACCTAATAATAGAATTCTTCATAAGACGTTGAGTGGGTAAGGTAACTAGTAGGGTAAAAGTGCTAGACTTTAGGAAAGATGATTTCAATGAACTCAGGCGATTAGTCAAGGACGCACTGCAGAGTAGGAGTTTTGAAGTGATGGGAGCCCAAGAAGGGTGGCTGTACCTTAAGGAAATGATCCTTCGGGCACAAAGGAAGATGATTCCGATGTGAGGAAAAAGAGGGAAAGGGGCCAGGAGGCTTCCTTGGCTGACCAAAGAAATCCAGGGCAGCCTAAGGGCCAAAAGGGGAGCACATAAAAAGTGGAAACAGGGAGAGATCACCAAAGACGAATATACCTCCTCCGCTTCCACTTGTAGGAAGGCAGTTAGACAGGCCAAAGCTACCATGGAGCTGAGGATGGCATCCCAAGTAAAGGACAACAAGAAATTGTTTTTCAGATATGTAGGGAGTAAAAGGAAGGCCCAGGGAGAAATAGGACCCCTGCTAAATGGGCAGAAGCAATTGGTGACAGACAGGGGGGACAAGGCTGAACTCCTCAACAAGTTCTTTGCATCATTGTTCCTAAGCGAGGGGCATGACAAGTCTCTCACTGGGGTTGTAGAGAGGCAGCAGCAAGGCGCTAGACTACCATGCGTAGACCCTGAGATGGTGCAGAGTCACTTGGAAGAACTGGATGCCTTTAAGTCAGCAGGCCTGGATGAGCTCCATCCAAGGGTGCTGAAGGCACTGGCCGACATCATTTTGCCCTTGCTTTTCCTGCGGCTCCCCACATGTCTAAAAAAGTACTTTTTATTGTCCTTGATACTTGTAGCTAATTGGAGTTCCGTCTCAGCCTTGGCTTTCCTGGTTTGCTCCCTGCAGGTCCGGACCAGTGCAGAGTATTGCTCCTTGGAGGTGGATCCAGTCTTCCATCCTTTGTAGGTCTTTCTTTTTAGACGCAGGAGGTCTGCTAGTTCCCTGGAGAGCCAAGGGGGCTGCTGTGCCCTTTTGCTGCCTTTCCTCCGAGACAGAATAGAATTTGCTTGCACGTCCAGGATTGCTCCTTTGAGGAGCAACCACTCATCCTGAACTCCCCTCCCCTTTGGGTTGTGGCCATTTAGGGCCTCACTGACAAGTCTCCTGAGCTTGTCAAAGTCAGCTTTTCTGAAGTCGAGGACTTCTGTGTTGCTGACTGACTTGCCAGCTTTACATCAGATGGTGAAGGTGATCAGCTCATGGTCACTGTCTCCCAGCTTCCTTTTGATTGTTAGGTTGCTGATCAGGTCATCCCCTGTTGCCAGAACCAGATCAAGCAGCGCTTTACCTCTTGTTGGCCCGTAGACTTCCTGTGTCAGATAGAGGTCATCCACACATGAGAGAGAGCTTTGCAACTGCTCAGATTTGGCTGAGTGCTTTTCCCACGAGAAGTCTGGGTAGTTGAAGTCTCCCATGACAACCATGCACCGGGAGTGTGCGGCCTCAGCCAATTCCCTGGTGAATTCCTGGTCGAGCTCTTGATCCTGGGCAGGAGGTCGGTAGTAGACTCCTACCATTGTGTCCCCTGTACCGTGTTCCCCACGGATTTTATCCCAGAGGGTCTCCAGTTGCCCACCTTGGGCGCCAATGTT